TCGAAATTCGCGGTGCCACCATGTTCAATGCCCCCTGGGTGGCCTGGACATGTGGTAACAAGTGGTTCCAGCGCGGGACCACCATGTTGGATACTCCTGGGCGACCCGGGCCCTCCTAGCGAAATTCCTTCAAAAATCAGCGAATTAGTCGAGAAGTCCTCGGAATTCGCGGGGCCACCATGTGGCACAGTGACGTACCAAGGGACGCGCCAGGGGACGTGCCAAAGGACGCGCCGCGCGACGTGCCACGGGGACGCGCACCGGAACGTTCCAAAAGACATGCAACATGCCAGAGGGATACGCCACGGAGCGTGCCAATGGACGCGCCAAGGGACGCACCGCGCGAAGTGCCAGGGGGACGCACCACGGGACGCGCCACGGAACGTGCCAGGGGGACGCGCCACGGGACGCGCCATGGAACGTGCCAGGATGGATACCCTCTGGACGACCTGGGCCCTCCTAGCGGAATTCCTGCAAAAAATCAGCGAATTAGACGAGACATCCTCGAAATTCGCGAAACCACCATGTTAAATGCACCCTGGGTGGCCTGGACACGTGAAAACCAAGGTTCCAGCGCGGGATCACCATGTTGGATACCCCCTGGGCGACCTGGGCCCTCCTCACGAAATTCAATCAAAATCGGCGAATTAGCTAAACACCCTCGAAATTCACGGGAGCACCATGTTGAATACCACCTGGGTGGCCTGGACACGTGAAAACATATGGTTCCAGCGCGGGACCACCATGTTGGATACCCCCTGGGCGACCTGGGCCCTCCTACCAGAATTCCTTTGTGAAAATCTCCGAATTAATCGAAACAGCATAGAACTTCGCGGATCCACCATGTTCAATGCCCCCTGGGTGGCCTGGACACGTGAAAACACATGGTTCCAGCGCGGGACCACCATGTTGGATACCCCCTGGGCGACCTGGGCCCTCCTAACAGAATTCCTTCTGATAATCAGCGAATTAATCGAGACATCCTCGAAATTCCTGAGCACGGGACGCGGCGCGCGCGAGACATCCTCGAAATTCCTGTGCACGCGGCGCTTTTATGCGTCGCGGTCGGGGCTCCAGACCTCGTTGTTTATGAAAGATGTTGAAAAAGAAGCGCCGCGTCTCCTTTTTTACGAAGGCAAACGGCTGTCCGCGGACCCCGTTATTTATCGAGGATCCGAGCTGGGGGGCGCAATTTCCTCGAGCGGGCACACGCGAAACGCACTTGTCCAACTGCAAATTCACACTTTACATTGCAATTGATCGCATAAGAAATTCGCCGGTCCTACAGCCGTCAAAACCGAAGGGTAAACCGACTTAAAGAGAACCCTGGGCTCGGGCCCTTTCCGGGAAAAAACAAATGCAACGTACGCTCTGGAGGTGTTTTGGAGCTATGGTGATAAAACGGCGACGCCGACAACGAAAAGAAGAATGAGAACGAGGACGAGTACAAGGACGAGTATGTGGGAGGCGAAGAAGGAAATGGCGAAGGAGGCCAAGAAGGAAGAAGCGCATGGGGGACGAGGGGGTAGCAATGGGAGGGCTAGCGAATCAGCCCAGCTGCTTTTGTTTGTTTGTCGCCCCCCAGCACCAGAGGCGGCCATTTATAGACGAAACTGCATGGCGGGGGAGCAAAAGCAGCTGCACGCAGCAGCTTTCGCACCCCCATTTTTCCCAACCCCCTTTCGTCCGCCCCGGTAACAGCACGGGGGGTAAGGGGAGGGGGGGGGGGGGCAGGTCGACTGCGAGGACGAGGACGACGACGAGGACAGAAACGAGACGAGGAGGAGGGGAGACTAGGAGCAGGAGCAGCAGCAGGAGCAGCAAGAGCAGCAGGGTCATGAGCGGGAGCGGGAGTGGGGCGAGAGCGGGGGGGGAGGCAGGGGGAGGCAGGAGGGGGCAGGAACGGAAGCGGGAGCGACGGCAGAAGCCAGAGAAGCGGGAGTGACGACGACGACGACGACGACGACGACGACGACGGCGACGGCGACGGCGACGACGGCGACGGCGACGGCGACGACGGCGACGACGACGGCGACGGCGACGGCGACGACGGCGACGGCGACGGCGACGGCGACGGCGACGGCGACGGCGACGGCGACGGCGACGGCGGCGGCGGCGGCGGCGGCGACGGCGGCGGCGGCGGCGCTCAAGCGGCCTCCTCGCTGCGCCGCCCAGGACGGGCGGCGCCGGCAGGCGGCAGCATGGCGGGCGGCCCCCCCCCTCCCCCCGCGGGGCCGGAGGGCGGGGCGCCACCCCCCGACCCCGACCCCTGGGGGGGGGGGAGGAGGGGGGAAGGCGGAGGCGGGAGGGCGAGGGCGGGGACGACGGGAAGAGAAGCGCAGCCCAACCGCTGACGTCAGCTGCGACCTCATGCAAAAGGGGAGTGGGGGCAGGACCCTGCGAGGCACGGGGATGGCGGCAGCAGAGAGTCGAGAGCGACCGCCGGCAAGGAGATCGGCTGGCTACTCCGCGGGAGGGAAGAGATCCAAGGGGAAGAGGGGGGGAGACGGGGAGGGGAGGAGAAGGAGGAGGGCGATGGAGGGCGAGAAAAAGTCGAGTGAGGAGGGCGAGGAAGGAGGAGGGGGAGGAGGGGGAGGAGGAGGAGGAGGAGGAGGAGGAGGAGGAGGAGGAGGAGGAGGAGGAGGAAGAGGAGGAGGAGAAGAATCAGGAGGAGGAGGGAAGAACGAGAGGGGAGGAAGGAGAGGCAGGAGGGAGGAGAAAAGGCAAGGGGGGATAGGGGGAAGGAAACCAGAGGAGCATGGCAACAGCTGGTGGTGCAACCGCGTTCCGAAATTCGTCAAACCCAACACTCAAAACGAGTTGATGACATCGGCGTCGACGGGCAAGTCGCGCGACACGCGCTGCCTGCGCTCGACCGTGCGGGCGCCGAGTGCCCCAGCAGAGGCCCCATCCCACTGTCGACTGGCAAAGGGCCACCAGCACAGGAAGGGCAGGGCCGGAGGCTCCTGCAGCCCAAGCTTGGGCGCCAGAACGGCCCGAGCCCCGTCGGAAATGAGATCAGGCCCCATATCGGGCCAGGCGAAAGGGGGGGATAGCAAAGTGGGGGTTTGAGAATCAGCTCACGTAGCTGATTTTCCTGGCGCCTCCCGGCGCCGGACGCGCCCACGTATCGGGGAATGGGCCCGGCGGCGGGGCCGAAACCAGCTGCATGCAGCAGATTTCGTATCGCCCCTTTCGTCTCCGACCACAGCTCGGAGCCCACCCCTTAAAAACACATGTCGCAAAGTCCCAACCAACAGACGACCCGACGAGAACGAGAAGCCCTGTCTCAGCAGCCCCCTATCTGGCCCGCGCCTCTTCATAAGTTGCAAAAAAAACGGGGAATCGCGGGAAAGGGTGGCTGAGGCGCCAACCACGCTTGCATCCACTCGCCGTCGCTCGGACGTCCATTTCCCGAACATTTGTCGGTTTCGTGCGTGTGTGTTTTTGCTCGATGGTCCAGGATGGTCCTCGATGTTTCTCGCCGAGAAAACATGCACACGTCCGAGCGATGCCAAGTCCATAATCGCGTGATTCCGAGCTCGCCAAGCATGGGGATCGGGCCACGCGGGCCTACCTCAGCCGAGACGCTGGCCCTGCTCGGCTCCGACTCGCCCCTCGCCCGCCCGCTCAGCCCCCCCCTCCTCCTCCTCCTCCTCCTCCTCCTCCTCCTCCTCCTCCTCCTCCTCCTCCTCCTCCTCCTCCTCCTCCTCCTCCTCCTCCTCCCTCCTCCTCCTCCTCCTCCCTCCCTCCTCCTCCTCCTCCTCCTCCTCCTCCTCCTCCTTCCTCCTCCTCCTCCTCCTCCTCCTCCTCCTCCTCCTCCTCCTCCTCCTCCTCCTCCTCCTCCTCCTCCTCCTCCTCCTCCTCCTCCTCCTCCTCCTCCTCCTCCTCCTCCTCCTCCTCCTCCTCCTCCTCCTCCTCCCTCCTCCCCTCCTCCTCCTCCTCCTCCTCCTCCTCCTCCTCTCCTCCTCCTCCTCCTCCTCCTCCTCTCCTCCTCCTCCTCTCCTCCTCCTCCTCCTCCTCCTCCTCCTCCTCCTCCTCCTCCTCCTCCTCTCCTCCTCCTCCTCCTCCCTCCTCCTCCTCCTCCTCCTCCTCCTCCCTCCTCCTCCTCTCCCTCCTCCTCCTCCTCCTCCTCCTCCTCCTCCTCCTCCTCCTCCTCCTCCTCCTCCTCCTCCTCCTCCTCCTCCTCCTCCTCCTCCTCCTCCTCCTCCTCCTCCTCCCCCCTCTCCTCCTCCTCCTCAGGATCAACGTCGGGGCCGATGTCATCGAGCCACTATGGGCCCACACGGTCGAAGTACTTCGAATCCCCACGCGGGCTCCCTGCTTAGAAGTCAGCAACCAAGCGGTCGGCTCTCTAGACCCCAGCCACTACGGCCCACCCCTCCTTCGACACGCTCATCCGCCGCCCGGCTCCCCAGAGACTAGAAAAGTGAGACAACTTAACATTCGACGCGTCACGCCGCGCGCACTTCGCGGGAACCTCGCACACTGCCACGACCTCCAGCTTGCCCCACGCACAAGCTGCCGCCAACGCGACCGAGGACGATGAGGGGTCACTTAAGAAGTCGGGTCACTGTCCAGGCTGAACGTGCCAGAACGATCGCCTTGGATGTTCACACCAGGGAACGGGGTGGAACGTCGCGCGAGGGCCGACGTTACACGGCCCTCGCCATCTCAGGCCGCCCAGGAGGGGGCCGCGGAGCGGGGCGCACGCCCCCAGATCGCACGGCTCACGTGTTCACGCCCGCCCGCCACAGTCGCCGACCACCCCGCCAATCGAATCAGAAGGCGGGCGCGACTCAAACGCCAAGTCGACAATCAAGACGTGCGCGCCCGCCTCCAGCGGGAACCCCATCCGCTGGCCAGTCGAGCCTGCGCACGGCGCCAGCAAGGGGCCCAGCAGGGCAGGGAAACATGCCGGGCGGACCAGGAGGAACTCCTCCCGAAGACAGCCTGGGCCCTGGGAGGCAAGCAGGCAACCGTCTGAGCAGCGGCTTTCGGGCCTGCCCCCAAAGGCCCCGATGCCAGGCCGAGCGGGCAGGGCGTCAGAAGCGTCGACGGGAGAACCATGCTAGGGTCACGGCTCTCGCGACAAGCGAGGCAGAGCAGGGAGATGCCGATGCAACTCTCGGCGAAGCGCTGCTGATCAATCATCCACCGGGAAAGGGGGACCCAGACAACTACGGCGGCCCACGCGGCAGAGTCGCAAGCCAGCAGGTCGAGAGCATGCTCGAGGAACATGGCCATCTATGCTCCTGTCCGAAACTGTCACGGTGGCTTTGCTCGTCGGACAACGTCGCCCCTCCGCGTGCTCCTCGTACGCGCGAAGCCGAAAAGACACGGGGGCGACAGACTCCGCGCGCGACCAGCCTGGGCCCCCTAAGGCCTCATTCTCAAAATCGAGCTTTCCATTGGTCCGATCGGGCGAAAGAACCAGAGCAGCCACTGATCGCTTCGCCGAGCTCTAAAGGCTTGGCCTCCACGAACTGGCGATCGCATCGAGCGCAGAGGCCCCGACAGCCTTCGAGACGCTGCCATTCCACCAGACAGAGACAAACACAAAGCGGATCACGCCAGAGGGGGGTCGCTGAAGAGAAGCGCGAGTTAGAGGGAAGATCCAGGCTGGAAGGGTCAGAAGGAGCGCGCCGTCAAGACCCCGAGAGCCTGGAACTCCACGTCGCACGCACAAGTTCAGCGGCTTGCAAAGCAGCGTCTCGGTCGTAGCACTCACAGAGCGAACAGCTTCACGACGCCGGTCGCACAGCTACTGCCACGACAGCGCGGCTGGGCAGCACCACCCTGCAAGCAGCCTTCGTCCAACGCGCTCGGCGCGGGCCGGGACACAGAGCCCGCAGACACCTCAAGACCTGATGGTCGAAGCCGCAGCGCTGCCGCGATGGCCTCGCTATACAGCCTCTCGTAAAACTTCTGTGTCTGAGCGCAGGGTGCCGCGGACCCTGCTATTGCGCCCGGCGTGCACCACCAGAAGAGTGTGAACGCAAGCTGGACTGTCCGACGCTGCGCCGACTGCTGAGACAGACAAGGTTTCGTCCACCGCCCGGTTTCGATCTTCGGGGACCTCGGCAGGCGATGGATCTGGATATACTCGGCCCTCCCAAGACCCAAATATGTCCATGTCCGTCTCGGATCCCCGGAGGCTGCGGGAGGCCCGCGAGGCCCCAGCGGATAGCCCCCCCCCCGAACACCTCCTCCTCCTCCTTATCCACCTCCTCCTCCTCCTCCTCCACCTCCTCCTCCTCCTCCTCCTCCTCATCCTCCTCCTCCTCCTCCTCCTCCTCCTCCTCCTCCTCCTCCTCCTCCTCCTGCCCAGCACGCGACCGCGCGCGGGGCCGCGGGCGGCGGAAGTTGGTGGGTCTGCACATGAATTGACGGCCTGGCTCCCAGGGCGGCCTGCGAGTGAGAACGAGCATCGCCACGCATAGGCCTGGCACCGCAGCCTGCCTCCAGCACGCGTCGAAGACGACCGCGAAGCTGAGCAGCACGGGCCCCGAGAGCTCGTCCATCACGCGAGGGTGCAAACTGCAAGCTGTTCCAGCCACGCCCCGTTCGCTCGCCGACATCACGAGGGACCGACCCGGTCCCGCACAGGTGATAGCAAGGATCAAGCCTCCCTGAATCAGAGCGGCAGCCACTCCTGCAAGATGGCCTCGGCTGCTGCAGTACCTACCTGTTGGGGAGAGTCGGGTTCGCCAGCCAAGACTAACGGAGTCGATTCGACTGGCCGAGCCATGATCAGGCGGCGTGTCACACATCCTGAGCCTGACAGGGCCGAGGAGCAGAATTCTATCCACTCCTTGGCTCGGGCCGACGCATCAGCCTTGCGATGTTCTTACACCTCGGCATTCAGCAGGTCCAGGCACCTGGCGGAGAGAGGGCCGTCCCGCTCGGCCAAGTCCTGCCGCCCTTCGAGGTCGAGTATGGCAAGGACCACTACGAGACTGACCTCCTCAAACCCGATCGAGGGCATGTCTGCCAAATCGAACCAGCGGGCGCACGCAACCTGAAGGTCGACCAGCGGTTCAAGAAGCTCGCACCGCTCAAACTGCCACCCGCAGGTCGGATGTTCGACATCTGCCTTAGTCGCTGGCGCGTCATCATCTTCACACGCAGACCTGCGGTCCACCGAGACGGGCCTCCTCGGGTCCTCGATCCGCACCGAGGGCCGAGCCTGGACGTCCCCGACTCGCGATGCCACCTGGACGCGAGTGCCAAGAGGGGGTCCAGCAAGGGCCGCGGGCCGCATGCTGTGGGCCAGGGCGAGAAAGGCGGCAAATAAATCGGATCCACCGCCCCCGCAAATGGGAGCCCCAGGTTGCACGATGGAAGCGCAGGTCCGCGCCGCTGATGAAATAGTCGGCAGGCTGGCCCAGGAGTTCGGCGACCATACCACCAGGAAGTCCAGGATGTCGCCGACCAGCCTAATGGAGGTGATCAAGTAGCCCTACACCAGCAGCGCAGAACCCTTGCCAAGGCGCGCGCACCGAGTTACCAGGCGATGTCGCCTCTTCACTGAATATCGATGCCTCCAAATACAAATGTTAGGCCAAACCCGCCAGAGACCGCCATGCGCTCAGAACCATTCCGGAGGGGGCTGCCAAGAACAGGTGGGACCCTTGTCCCCGGCACAGTTGCACCTATACTCCTTCCCCTCAACAAGGAAAAAACGAATCTCGCGCACGAAAGCCACATCAAAAGTGTCGGTCGATGGGCGCGTTCCACTTCCACGAAACGCCTGTCGAACAACTCCAAGGGCCGCCATTGGTCGAGACCAAGCTAAGAGAGTCGGCGGGCACCTGATGTCGAGCAGGTACCAGATTGCCCAACGGCAGCCGCGGCTTCGGAGTCACTGGAGCAAGGGCGCGTGCAGGGGAGAGACCTGGAGTGTCCGCCCCCTTGGAAGGAAAGCCGATGTTGCTCCGCAGGCCCCCCCGCCTCCGGGGCACAGGGTCGCCTCAGAGGCTGCCGCGCCACCAGGCGAAGAAGAAAAACTGGCTGGCATCCGGAGCCGCTCCGACCCCGAGCGGCCCAGCTCTGAGGCTGAAGCGACACCGAGGCATCGACCGCTGTCACGGCCGCGGGAGCAGCAAGGCCTGCTGAACGCACTGGGCACCATTCGCTGAAGGGCACGTCGTGGAAACTTCCAGTCTACCAGGGACGCCCAGCGCTGCGCGTTCTGACTCCATGAGATCCGAAGCACGTCGAGCAAGATCGGACAGGGCGCCTGCACCACCATCACCCACCCTCACCACCAGCCCCGCGGCAACGCCGAGAGCCCCCAAACAGCTCCCAAATGGAGCGGGGCGTGTAGATAGATAAACTATGTAAACATACACATGTGTACATGTCGACATATGTATATCTATATATATATATATATATATATATATAAAAAGAAAAAACAAAAACAAAACAAAAGCGATGAACTACAAAAGACAAACAGCAAAACTGTGAGGAATAGTAAAAGCTGCAACTGCACCAGCGCGCAAGGACGAGGCACGGCCGCCCTCGGCTCGGCACCCGAGCACCACTCTCGGCTGGCGGCGCATCTGGTCGGCATCCTGATCGGCAGGGAGCGGCTCAGCCGTCCGATTCTCGCGAGGTCTGGGAAACGTCTTGGGCCGACCTGATGCCATCTTGGCCGTCTTGGGGGCGTCTTGGAGGCCATCTTGGGCCGTCTTGACCGTCTTCGAGGCCATCTTGGACCGTCTTAGCCGTCTTGGACTTCTCCTCCAACGACGAGACAGGCGAGATCGACGTGCTGCTGTGCCATCCGCCAGCGCAGGCCCGAGGCTGCCGCTCTGCCGAGGCCAGGGCCTCCGCCGCAGGAGCCTCACGCCCGACCAGCCGGCTGGCGCACGGCGCAACTCGGGACCCGATCGCAGACCGATGGCGCCAGGCCGGCGAGGTCGGGGGCCTGGACTCCAAAGCCGAGGAGATACGCAGAAGGCATCACACCACCACCGTGCCAAGCCAGGGCCATCCTGGCCCTGGCACGGTGTATAGGCCCTCCTGGCCGAGGCCAGGAGGGTCCATACACCGTCCTAGGGCCCAGGGGGGCCCTGGCCTGGCACGGTGGTAGTGTATAGACGCCTTCGTCGGAGGATAAGAATCTCGACCATCACAGAGTCCAACTTGAGCGAGGGCGCCGTTGGAGGATCGAGCTGCACACCTGCGGCCTCGGCGTCGCGGAGCGCCCGCTCCGCCACGGCGAGGCGCTCCTGGCAGCTCTCGAGGTGTTCCTTACCTTTGTCAAGCATCTCGTCGGCGAAGGGGGCTCCCCTCACGAGTCCCGAACCACAAACGGTGCCTCTGACAGCCATTGAAGGACGAAGGAGCAGGATCTCAAGGCTGTAGCTATATACCTAGATATACCAGATGTGTGTGTGTGTGTGTCCATATGTACCTGCATACACACACAAGAGGCCATAATGAGATAGCAGAAGGATGCACAAGACGTCGCCGACCAAAGAGATCTGCGCGGACCTCCGACTGCTTCAAGTGGCTGATAAGATTCGGTGTGCACCGCCGCGGCGTATCACCGTTCCTCGGAGACACGGGCCCTGTGCCCTGGGCCTTTCCCCAGGATCAACTCTTCATCTCGCATCGCAGTCGGACAACCCTGGGGGCCCGAGGCCCCTCGCAGCTTCCGGCCTCCTGTGGCCATCCCTGCCCTGAGACCCGACAACGCAAGCACTGCAGCATCGTGGGATGTCACAGCCGGAGCCCTGGACCCGAACTCTCCGAGGCACCTTCCGAGCCGGATCGGTCTGTGAGGGCCCAGGGACACCGAAAGCGGCGGCAGAGACGCAGAAGCCCGCTCCCTCGGGGCCCCCGTCCCCTCCTGGCCGGCCATCCTTTTGCCCTGGGTGGGCCTGGCCATGCGAGGTGGCGGCGCAGAGGCGCCCTCGGGAGGGGAGGAGGGAGAGCGCGACCCGCAGCAGGCGCCCGCGTCGGAGCGCCGCAGTCCCGCCGCGCGGGCCTACTCCCAAGAGGCCTCGGCGAACACGAAGCTCGCCTCCTCGACGAGCACCCCCTCGATGCTGCCGCCGGGGAGGCCGCCATCCTCGCTCGGGCACTTGCACATCTTGCCGCCGAGGACGTCCTCTCGGGGGTCGTCGACTGTCCGCCTTGCCGACCCCGGCCGGGCCGATCCTGGGCCTGCCCGGGATCGGTGAGGTGGATACTTGACGTCCCCCCCCGGTCATTGTCGTCGAACTTGCCCACCAGGCTGGCGGCCGCCTCGTTATCCCGAGGGCGACCAGCCCCGCGAACCTTGTCCCAGCGGTCCTTCCACGCCGGCTTGAAGTAGTAGCCGTGCTCCGCCTCGTCCTGGCTCTCGATGCGGTAGCGCGCCGTCGCCCTGTGGTGGACGCACGCGGCAGAGGGGCGTTCAAGGCTCTCCGCGTGTGCGTCGAAGCCGAGCAGCCCACCGACGTCGACGCGGCCAAGCTGGGACAGCTGCCGCACCGCCACATTCAGGTGCTGCTGCTCAGGCAGGTCCTGGCGCAGGGTGATCTTGGCGCCATTCAGGCTCTTCTTGTTGCGCAGAGAGAGAGTGAACATACCAGCCACAATTGGCCCCTTCTTTGAGCGCTTCTTGGGAAACCACGTTGCCTTGTCTAATGAAACTTCGATGTCTGACTCAGAATCCGAGAGCACAAGATCCTTGGTTTGAACATCCTCGATGGTCTGCCAAGGAGAATCACTATCGCCTTCGAGCAGCCGGGCACCGAGGAACGCATCGGTGTCGTTCGAATGGGATTGGCGGTAGCAGCGAACCTGCACGGACTTGCCGCCGAGCCAGGAGCCCGAGAGCTCGACCTGCGTAATGTACGTGGTGCACGGCTTCCCAACGTCCGCCTGAATGCCCGCCTGCAACAAGAACTCGGCCGGCTTCTCGGCAGCTTGAGGGAAACGGAGCAGTGCGAACTTGCCCTCGTGGTTGATGTCGAAGTGCTCCCCTTGCAGGTTGACCAAGTGCGGGTCACCCTTGGCCCCGACTGTCGGGGCTGGGGTCGAGAATTCGGGGTACGGGCCAGCATTGGAGCACATACCAGTGCCGTTGGGGTACACAGTGCACACCTCAGTCGTCTCGCAGCAATCAGTGCCACATGCGCAGCAACAGCCATCCGCAGAGGGAGAGTATGAGGAGCTCACCTGGGTCCCGTCGGTGGAAGTGCACGTCTGCGAAACGGAGGTGTCATAGGTGAAGTCTTCAGGAAGCGGCACGGCAAGATCGAGTATATATCCCCCGAGTACTGGAGTAATCCCCATAACGACCGTCGAATGCGTGATAATAGTAGACGGGTCACTTGATCTTCTTCCAGTGATGGTTATAGGATCTCCCAGGGAGAACTCCGTGCACGTTTGATACGGGACGTCCACAGTGATGTTCGCCGAGTTGTTCCCACCCTTGGCTGGAGGTTTGTAAATGTCCCTGCAATCGTCGCAGTCTTCGCAGCCAGGGCCGTAGCCTTCTTCGCAGGAGGTGCACTCGGTGGAGCGGCGCCTGGAGACACAGGAAGCCATGACCAGATCCAAAAGAACGCGGGGGCAGTGGGGCAAGCAAGCTTCAATCATAGCCCAGACAAGCATGGCCGGGCCAAGCGGAGAAGAAGGAGGAGGAGGACGAGGAGGAGGAGGAGGAGAGGCGTGAGTGTGGTCTGGTCAAGGCTTACGTTGCCCGATACGCCTGCGCGTATATCCACTGCAGACTTCGCACCCGCAGGGGTTCGAAACGATGTACTTGCCCTCAGGGCACTCGTCGCACGGCTCTGGAACCTCCGTCGGGCAGACCTCAGTAGCGTTCATGTCGTAGATGACCTCCCACTCGGTATAGTCCGCCACCGCGCTTGAGGCGGTTGGTGGGCTCCAAACCCTTGCTTTGCCATTAGTGTCGCCTCTTGTGAAACATCCGCTCGACGCAACGAGCTCAGCATGCACACGTATAGATTTGTCTTCTGCTAAAAACCTGCAAGACAAGGATTAGATATTGAGCAAAGTCCGTGCCCTGTTTGCCTGGCATGCAGCAGATGGTCATCCGTGGCATGTGCACTCGTGGGCGCCCCCGCCCGCCCACCCCGCATCTCCTCTCACCCCCCGCCAGGCCCCGCCCCCCCTCCTGCATCCTACAAGCGACGGGCCCGAGCGCGGTGGCAGGTCCGCGCGGCAGCGCCCCTGGATTGATGCAGCCGTCGCCGTCCAGGTCCCACACCGTTGGCCCGTAGGATGCGGGCACCGTGGTGCAGTTCCCCAGCAGAGGAGCCTGAACGTCGCACTCGTCCTGTTCTGTGGCAGCTCATGGGACCCTACGGGCTCTTGCGAATCGACGCCAACCGACGCCACTCGACGCTCGACGACGCTAACCAGCGCTACATCGGCGCTGTCCGGCGCTAAACCAGCGCCTTCCCATCGACTGCCAGACGCTGGCGTGCGCTGACGCACCCCCACGACGGAGTTGTGAGGACATGCAAAGCTCCCATGAGCTGCTGCCGAAGTCCTGGGTGATGCACGTATCGTTGTTGAGGTCGTACCTCTCGAAGCAGGCCGGCTTGTGGCAGAGGCAGGGCACCCCCGGAAGCTCCATCACGTACGTCGGCTCGGGCGTCGGCTCGGGGGTGGGCGCCGCCGTCGGAAATGCCGTCGGCGCAGCAGTGGTCTGCGGACGCCCCGCGCTGTGCTGGCGGTCCGCCGGGTCCTCCATGAGCTTCATCGCGGGAGCCGCCCGCAGCAGCGCGGCTGCGGCCAAGGCGCGGCAAGGAGCCATCATTCCAGGCATGATGTCTCGGCTTCTAGGTCGGAAGTGGATATCCACCGCTGTGGAGCAAATACAGTAGTGAGGAGTGTACCGTGGGGCGTGACTGCTCGACCCAAAAGTCTCTGGGCCCCCGATCGGGACGAGGGCAGCTACGGGGCCCCGCTTGGCCAGGAAAAGCAAGGAGCACATCCATCCCTCTTCTTTATGAATCATGACTCTGCCTGTCGCACCCCGGAACGTGTCCGTAGGGCGGGCCGGGCGTTTCGCCCGAGACTTCCTCACCAGTCATGGTCCTGAAGCTTGAGGCGGGTAGTTTTCAAAATGTGGTTCTCGCCTTCGCGCCGCGCACATTCACCTCAAGAGCTTGCAACATGTTCATGGATGGAAGGCGGGCCACTTTCAATATGTGGCTCTCGCTTTCGCGCCACGCACACTCGTGCTAGAAATGAACAGTAATTTCACTGATGGAGGGCGGGCCGTTTTCAAAAGGTGTTTCTCACCTTCGCCGCGCACATCCGTCTGCAACGTTTGCAAGGGTTTTACGGATGAAGGAGGCTCCTTTCCTTACAACAGTTTCAAGGATTATTATGGCTGAGGTCCCAAAAATGGCGTTTCGGCAACAATGTAGGACTGTCAGGGCGCAACAGTCACGTTGAGTCGCGGTGTTGAAGTCCCAGTGTTCTGGCACGATGTAGGATCGTCGGGACGCAAATGTAACATTGATGCACGGAGTTAGACTCCCAGGAATGGTGTTTTGGCACGGTTCAAGATTTTCAGGCGGTTGTTCCCAACCATCATGTGGTTTTGGGTTCTCGCTTTCAGGCGGTTGTTCCCAACCATCATGTGGTTTTGGGTTCTCGCTTGGAATAGACAGTCCACGCATCCCCCCCTTTCCTCTCATCTCATCCTCCTCCCGCTCCTCCCTCCTCCCGTCACCCCCCTCACTTGGGCACACCCCTCACACGTTTCGTGGCCCCATGGGGAGCTCCACCGAAGGCCACAGTGGCTGCGTTCGCATGCCGCCACTCCCCTCACTTTGGCACACCCCATCACAAGTTTCGTGGCCCCATGGGGAGCTCCACCGAAGGCCCCAGTGGCTGCGTTCGCATGCCGCCACCCCCCTCACTTTGGAACACCCCATCACACGCTTCGTGGCCCCATGGGGAGCTCCACCGAAGGCCCCAGTGGCTGCGTTCGCATGCCGCCAAGCCCCTTTGGCACACCCCTCACACGTTTCGTGGCATCATGGGGAGCTCCATCGAAGGCCCCAGTGGCTGCGTTCGCATGCCGCCAACCCCCCTCACTTTGGCACACCCGTCATATGTTTCGTGGTCCCATAGGGAGCTCCACCGAGGGCGCCAGTGGCTGCGTTCGCATGCCGCCACTCCCCTCACTTCGGCACACCCCGCACACGCTTCGTGGCCCCATGGGGAGCTCCACCGAAGGCCAAAGCTGCGTTCGCACGCGGCCACCCCCCTTACCTTGGCACACCCCATCACACGTTTCGTGGCCCCATAGACACCTCCCTGTGAGGCCCCAGTGGCTGCGCTCGCATGCCGCCGCCATCCCCCTCACATTGGCGCACCATTCACACGCTGCGTCGCCCCATAGGGAGCTCCACCGAAGGCCCCAGTGGCGTTCGCATGCCGCGACCGCATGTCTTCTCCCGTTTCTCCCGGTGTCTGTCAGCCGCAACGGGCTACATCAGCATGTAACCCGTCTCGTCTGACCTCCGCGCCCCCTTCGGGCGGCCCCAACGGCAGCGCGGCCCCGCCTCATTTCGGCGCTACCATCACGCGTTTCGTGGCCCCGTAGTGAGCTCCACCGAAGGCGTTTTTCACAACGGCGGTACGGGTCCCTAGAAGTTTTTCACCACGGCTGTACGGGTCCTTCGCAAGGATGATTTTCCAACGGGGCACATCCCTCAGAGAAAATAAATCCTTGTAGGGACCTTCTGAAGAAGGAACTTGAAGGAAGAGTTCATTGCAACATCGTTGATGAATATTAGAGTTGCACTGGTCCTCCTCCTCCTCCTCCTCCTCCTCCGCCTCCTCCTCCTCCTCCTCCTCCTCCTCCTCCTCCTCCTCCTCCTCCTCCTATTCCTCCTCCATCCATTTTCTTCCTGTCGTACCCCCAGACGTGTCGGTAGGGCGGGCCGGGCGCTTCGCAAGAAAATTCCGCACCACTTATGAATCTGAAGCTTAACAGTTGAAATACGTTCACGGATGGAGGGCGGGTCGTCTTCAAAATGCGGTGTTCGCAGTTGCGCCGCACACATGCGTTTCAAGTTTGCGACAATTTCACAGATGGACGGTGGGCCGTTTCCAAATGTGGTTATCACCTTGGCGACACGCATACTCGCCGTAAAGTTTGCAAGAATTTCGCGGATGGAGGGCGGTTCCTTTTCATGAACCCGGCGCGACCCCAATTGCGGGCAAGCTTCCTATTACAAGGGCGCAGTGCGCGGCGTTGCTTGACATGGTTTGGCATGGCTTAGCATGGCTTCGCATTGCTTGGCATTGCTTGGCATTTTTTGGCATTGCTTGGCATTGCTTGGCATTGCCCGGCATTGCTCGGCATTGCTTGGCATTGTTTGGCATTGCTTGGCATTGTTTGGCATTGATTGGCATTGCTTGGCATTGCTTGGCAGTGCTTGGCATTGTTTGGCATTGCTTTGCCTTGCTTTGCATTGCTTTGCATTGCTTTGCATTGATCGGCATTGCTTGGCATTGCTTGGGGAAACCAGGGAATCGGAGAAACCCGAGGAACCCGGGGAACCCGAGGAACCCGGGGAACCCGAGGTACCCGAAGAACCCGAGGAACCCAGGGAACCTGGGGAACCCGAGGAACCCGAGGAACCTGGGGAACCCGAGGAGCCCGGGGAAGACGGGGAACTCGGGGAACCTGGGAAACCCGAGGAACCTCCGAGGAACGGACAGGATAACCCCCTTAGGCACCGAGGGCGGGGAACCCGAGGAACCCGAGGAAGGTCCGGGAAGGTCCGGGGAACGGGCAAAGTTGACAACAACAACAACAACAACAACAACAACAACAACAACAAACAAAAACAAAAACAAAAACAAAAACAACAACAACAAAAACAACAACAACAACAACAACAACAACAACAACAACAACAACAACAACAACAACAACAACAACAACAACAACAACAACCACAAACACAACAACAACAACAACAACAACAACAACAACAAACATTGAAAGACTGTTCGCTCTTATCTGCTCGCGTGTCATTCAATATGCATACCCCAAACCCTGGATACCCGCCCTCTTCGTCTTCGATCGTACCCCCTTTTGGAGGGTATATTCATTCCCTGCCACGCGTGGTTGGTGAAGACCTTGAAAACGAAGGGTAACAGACAACGGGGGAGAATGAGGACGAAGGGATCGGAGGAAGGGAAGGGAGGGGCAAGAAGGAAGGGGGACGATGATTTGCGCTACGAGTGGCGATTCAGCTTGCGCCGTGGCTTACGCCAGCCACTCCAACACAGGTTAACAATAAGATTCGCCATGGGTCGCGCATAAACAGCGCCACGTACCACCCCCTTGAAAGAACATATCGTGGATACCCCCACGGGGGGGCGCACAGCTGCGAACTGGTGTCAGAAACAACGTGGAAACCTGAAAAGAAGCGGGATGTCGGGAGAGTGGGGCGGATGGATAATGAGAACTGCAACCGTGTCGAAAGGAGCGCGGGGATGTGGAGTGGATTGGGATGGAGTGGACAAGAGTAGGGTCTCAGGGGGAGGAGCGGCAAAGAGTGGAGAAAAGGAACCGGGAGGAGTGCGGAGGAGCGGGGGGGCGCACGGAGGAATCTGGAGGAGGGACTGGGAATGATTTGGGAGAATTTCGGAATGCGAGCGGGAAGGGGTGGAGATTGTTGGGATGGGATGGGGTGGCATGGGGAGGAGTGGGCGGAATGCGAAGAACTGAGGAAGAGCACAATGGAGTACGAACGAAATATAAATGAAGATACTCGAAAAGGGTAGAGACGAACGAACGAATATGAAATAGCACAATGGAATACGAACGAAACGATTCGACAACAAATTGCGAGGAAGTATCAGGCAGGAGCCGCGATCTGGTGGTTCATTGCAAGGAAGTCCCAAGCGAGAGCGCGATTCTTCAATAAATTGTGAAGAAATATGAGGCGGGAGCCGCTGTTGTTATAAACCGGGGGCCAACAACGCAGTTTGACCCTCAAGAGTTTCCCATATAAAAACCGCAAGCGAGCCCTGGGACGAGCACTTCAATCGAAAAAACAATGTGCACCGGACGGGGGGATCAACAATAGATATTCTTCAGAAATGAGAGTTCAACAACAACAACAACAACAACAACAACAACAACAACAACAACAACAACAACAACAGCAACAAACCGGCGACGCCTCCTGGCGCCGGCTTACACGGAGTAATCGACCTCGATTACTCCGTGTATCGGATACACGGAGTGATCGCACTCGATAACTCCGTGTATCGGATACACGGAACAATCGCACTCGATCACTCTGTGTATCGGAAACACGTAATAGACGCACTCGATTACTCCGTGTATCGAAACACAGAGTAATCGAGGTCGATTACTCCGTGTCTCCAACTCACACAGAAAAATTGAGGTCCATTACTCCGTGTATCCGATACACGAAAAAAATCGATTGCGATTATTCCGTGTATCCGATACACCGAAAAATCGCACTCGATTACTCCGTGTCTCGATTACTCCGTGTATCGGATACACGGAGTAATCGACAGAGTGCGATTACTCCGTGTATCCGAAGCAGATTATACTTGATTCCTCTTGGAACCTGCACATTGGACACACGGAGTAATCGCACTCGATTACTCCGTGTATCCGAGGCAGATTCTAAATGGATTCCTACTGGAACCTGCATATGGGATGCACGGAGTAATCGCACTCGATTACCCCGTGTATCCGAGGCAGATTCTAAGTGAATTCCTACTGGAACCTGCATATTGGATACACGGAACAATCGCACTCGATTACTCCGTGTACCCAAGGCAGATTCTCATTGGATTCCGTTTGGAACCTGCATATTGGATACACGGAGTAATCGCACTCGATTACTCCGTGTAGCCGAGGCAGCTTATAATTGGATTCCTGTTGGAACC